AGAAAATATTTGTTTTTGAAAAGATAAATGAAAAACTTCAATTCAATCTTTATTGTCAAATACAGTAAAATATAAGGTTTGGAATGAAATAAAAAATCACATACTAAAATACACATCACATCGTAAAATGTAAAAATATATAGTAAAAGTTTAAAATATGTTAACAATTTTGTTAAAATGGATCTCAACCATTTCAATCAAACAGGCACAAAGCAGTATGTCTATAAAATGAATTCAAAATTTTGAATCTATGTTTTTTAAGGTGCTTATCAGCAATAATTGATTACTATTGATTGGAGATGATGATGATGATTACAACATGATAATGATCTGATGATGCGATGCTATGATGGTGAGGAGGTAGAAGCGAAGATGTTATGATGATGGGCTACGACAATGATGATAATGATGATGATGATGATGATGATGATGATGATGATGATGATGATGATGATGATGATGATGATGATGATGATGATGATGATGATGATGATGATGATGGAAATGATGACCAAATGATAAATGATGTCAAATATATGAAACGTGTAGGCTGCCAGAACATTGACCTCTGACGATTAGTGCGTAAACAAATTTTCACAAAAACGTGATGCAATAATGACGAAATTATTATTATTGTTTATTTTCGGTAAATATTTCAGCCGCTCCAAATTTCTTTCCTATTCTTCTTTCTTCCTATGCTTCTTCAAAGTTTTATATTAATAAATACATATTTACGAATGGATACCTTGTTCGAAGAAAGAAATCAAAATATTTGATGGCGCCGCCACTGATGATGATAATGATAGAAAACATGAGGACGATGGTAAAATGATGATGATGGAGATTATGAAGAGGGGAGGATGAGAATGATTTGGTGATGTGTTGATGATAAGAATGGTGATGACGATTTCTATTTGAAAGATAATATTACATTTAGGCCTATATTTTTTTTTTAAATGTATATTTGTGATATATAAAGTAAAGAAACTCAGGCTTATTAGATATTTTGTAATTGGTTGATTAAATGATCAAGTTTCACGAACACACTTGGGGGACACAGAGGACTCAGAGGAGGGACGAGAACAAGAGGCAAGTCCAGACATGAATGGACCACATGAATAGGACTCGCGTACTCGCAAGCAATAAGAAAAGCATATAAATAAGAGTAGCACTTCATTGCATTAAGAGCCAACTAGAAGAGGAAGGAACATAACAAGAAAGGACATAACAAGAAGGGAAAAAAAGGATGGCAAGAAGAAATAATAGGAAGAAAATTTCCCTGGCTAATATCGAATGAGCCCGCTGCTCTGTCTCTTAGATAGTTCGTGGTCAAAACATAAACCGGGCGAAAAAAGTTCTGATCCTGTCTTTACTGGTATGTATGCATTTTTTTTCTTTCTTTCTTCCTTGTATATCAAGGTAAATCTTATATGTTTTCTAAAATCTTTCGGAAGTACCCTATTAATGCGATCGAGTTGCGTTTTGAAAACAACCATCAAGTTAAATTATGTTAATATGTTTGTCCTACGACGTATACTCAAGGACGTACATACGTCGAATTCACTATAGGTTGAGGGCGGGCTACAGTCTAAATTTTGAAGTGCTCATGTATTTCGGTTTCTAAGATTTACAAGTTACATGTACTTTGGTTTCTAAGATTTATTACTTCAGTAACTAACATAACAGTGTTGCTTATTTTTTCTCAAACACTTCAGCTATTTTCTATTTGTTCAATGATGGATATGTTCGCATCATATGGAACGCACGTCGAATGCCTTATTAATGAACGCCCTTCCGCAGTCGCTATCACAAAATGTTCAGGATGGATGTACAATGAGATCGAACAAAAATATCATTTTAGTATACCTCCCAGGGTGAAGAAACAGAGCAATTTTTTTCCTAATATTATTTTCAAACATCACCTAAAGTCAGTCTGGTAATATGAAGTTTCCCATTACTTAAGTTAACCGTTAATGAACTTCCCTCTTCGGAAACCCCTTTGTACGCACTGTGTTGGCATCGAAAATAAATTACCTACCAGACAGAATCAATCATCGCTAAATTGTTAACCTAATTTCCGTTGGTGTACTTTTCTGATTTGTCTTAATTTTCTCGTTTCTTACTCTGACAAGCACATGAGCATCAGACGTATTTCAATTAAAGGCTAACTTCATTTCAAAGTTTGCACCACCTCTCATTAAAGGATAGCGTTTAGTGTGTCTGGTTAAAGTTGTTTCAAAGTTCTAAGGTCGTTAAGACTGAATAGGCGCTAATTGCATGCTTAATTCACCAAAAAGAAAACCGGGCGGGTCTAACACCTATACCGTTAGCTTTATTTTGTTAAAAATTGAACCTCATTCAACTAAGCACATCACTTACTGTTACCCAATTTAAGTCAACGTACTTACTTTACGGTATATTATCAAGACGCAATTTAAGTCATCGTTTGATCCAAAAAGACAATCTGAGTGCTAAAACCATTTCGTTCATTTTCAAGCATCGGTATTTTCGATGGAGTTGTGGTGAATCGAAATTTTAGCGAGTTTGTTTCCAATCTGTAGATTAGGACAAATGCCAAATAGTTAATTTGGTAAGCCCTGTTATTTCAACTGCTCAAAACAGCCCCCTACCATGAGATAATTTACTTAAAAACAATGGTAGAACTAATTATAACACTAAATGAAAAACATTTTTTCTTGATTAAATGCACTAATAACTGTTGATTGAGAAAAGGCTATTATTATTATTATTAATATTATTATTATTATTATTATTGTAAGTAGTAATATATATATATATTATATATATATACATATATATATATAAACACTGTTAAATTAAAACTTGATTACTTTTCAACTGAATGTATTTATTCTCCAAATGCTTACCGTGGCCATGCTCGAACATTTTTAAAAGATTTGGAAAAAATTCGACCAAGTTCAATCATAGGTAAAGTATGATCAAGATTTAGTTTCTACTGATTCCAGCTTGAGTCCTGTCTAGGCCGGATACGAGGAGATGCTGTGCAGAGAAAACAAGAAATATTTTCCATGATTTGATAATCGTCTTTGTTTTGGTTTGCTTGTTCTACCTCTATTTGGGGTCCCAAAATCACATTTATTATTGCAAGTTTATAATTTAGCAATTGTTCCTCAAATGTTATGTCACATCTGTGTCAAGGTACATGTATTAAGCCCTATCCAGACTATCACATTTTATTTGACGGAAACATGTGACATGCCTAAATATGGTCATGATGACATCACATCATTACCATATGGTTTATCATAACTATTTGGTCTTACAACAGTATTTTTTTTTTTTTTTTTTTTTGTCAAAGAAAATTGTTCTGATAGTCTGCAGAAAGCTTAAGAACATAGATTCTGTTTGTGATAGGCCCAATGCCTATAGGAGCCTATCGGGCCTAGCGAAGTGCGTATAATGTAGTCCCATTCTCTCGTTTAACTGCAATGTCAAAATATGTTGCATAAAATTCTTTTTTTTTTTCTTAACCAATAAATATTAGGAGGATAATTACTGTATTATATATGGCACAGTATGAGTTCGTGATACGTTCTACTTTTAAATGCAATGACTAATGGGTCTACAACATTGTTAACAATGCAACAAATGTTCTTGGCCTACGTATCAGATGTCGACCAGAATATGTCATGAAACATGCCACGTGCTATAACAATTCATAATAATTAGGGTACAGAAAAATAATGATTATGTATTATAAGAATTATAGAAAAATGTTATAACATCACAGATAACATACACATATGAATCAGATATAGGATCCATCACTGGTCTTATAATATTGTTACGTGTAGAAGTTAATTCAAGATTATTTTGAGGCCGCCTGACATTTCAATCACAATTCAGAAATGTGACCGGTAAAATTTCGGAATTAATATTAATGTCTTATATATTAGACCTATAGTAGTATTATAAGCCCTACTAATGTACAATAATGATATTAAGTTTATTAAATAGGCAATTATTAGAAGTGTTTCTTTGGTTTCTAAGGTATATTCAATCAACATAAAAAGTGGACGTTTATATAATATGTTGCTGCACTTGATTTCAAAATGCAACTTTCTCTTCTACGCCTAGAAGAGAAACCGGACCGCGACGCAGGCGTGCCGCAATCCTAACCATTTTCCCCTTAAGATATTTGCCTATAAACTATCTATTTAACATTGCTATAGCCTAATTATATATGTTTTTAAAGCACGATGTGATACAATTGATTCTTTTTCTTATATACTTAGGCCTTTGTTCTACTTGCTTATATAATCACTGTTTTATCGCCTATAATGATATATTTTTAACCATGATATTTTTATTCAAATACAATGGGTTTTTGTATAGATATGATGCGATAATTATTTTTTGTGATCTGTAATATCCAACATACATTATCTGATTTATTTTAAAAATGGACGAATTGAAGTGTACTGTAGCTTAACAGTTAATAGGCCTATGAATAGTCTTCCAACTCAGTTCAAATTCTACCATAATTGTTCTCATGCCTAAAAAAAGCCAAGTGTTAAATCGTTCTCTGTAGAATATTGAAGTACGATAGTCTTTAAGTACGTCGTTAGTAAATTCCAATTGTTCCCATATCGATCACTTTAACCTACACTCATCTTTTCAACGATTACCTTTATCATTCCTTACCAATTAGCGCCACTATTGTTATATATGCCCATTTTCGCCTAATGCTACCACAGATACGACACCTTGAACTGTAAGTTGTAAGAGTTATGGCACTCTAAATAATTGGCTCAATACTGTAAACTTAACATCAGTATTGTCAGTCGGTTACCCACAGATTAGATATTAACACCTGAATAAGTTCACAGAGAGTCGATAGTAACACCTGAAGAAAAGTTCACATACAGTTGATATTAACATCTGTGCATAAGTTCACTTTGTGCACCGAAATATACCATAGTTCGTTAATGTTGGTCTGTAATAATGTGACGGTTCATGTGTAATTTAGTTTTCATTTCATTTATTTCGCCAAATTCATTTATTAATATACACACAAAGGACAAAATGACAAAAAATATACAAAATCATAGTCGGTGGCAGAATAAACGAAAAGAAAACTTAATTGCTGTGAACTGCTTTTTCCTCGAAAAGGGTATAACAGTAACATTAAGAACACTAAATATAAAATTATAATATACATATAAACAAATTATAATAAGTAGATATAAATACATAAAAAAATACAACAATGAGAAAAAATTGTCAACACAAAATCATTATATATCCACACGCTGTCCGTCAAATGGCCTATTCGACAAATGGCTTTATCATGAGCCATTTCGATAATATCAGAAATACATTGAAGAAGACTATGTTCTCCTGTGAAATGACAGTTCTTGATTATATGTCACAAATAAATTAGATAAAATCATTCAGTCATTAGGTGTGGTAGCCTTATTGACTTTATAATTGAGCAATGTCTATCTTTAAATTAATATTCCTCCATGTTCACCCACACATGTTTTCATTAATACTTTTTTTCTATGTGGATGAAGCGATTATATCTTATCTATTTATACATTCAAGGAGAAAATATGATACAATAATGTGTAATGTCAATTAACATATTAAAATAACATAAACCATGTAGCAGGTTCGTGTATTAGTTAATTTAAATTCGTCATTAGCTTACGTCATTACGGAGACGAGGGACAATCCCAATAGACATCTGTATTATTCATGACTAATGTAATACATTTTATTGGTGCTGATAGACTATTTATGTTTTAATCACATCGATTAGGCAGTAAATCAGACGAGGTACATCAGGTTCAATGTTGGTTACCGTATTCAACTTTAACATAGGCCAGTAAATGTCATAGCGTTTGCTTCCTTACTATTAACAAGCTGAACACAAGTCGTCTTGTTTAAGAAATGCGCCTCTCAATCCTCTTCATTTTTCAACATCATGACTCCGCACCCACACCCCTTAGATAGAGAGAAATTTAAACAACTAAATTATAGGCTTATGTACGGCCTGGTGAGCTAAATGTACTTAAATAAAAACATTCACTATTTGAATTACTAATTTGCACGAAAAATATCTTCAACATTATCTGAAACATAATAATACCTTTTTGTATTTGAATTGGCTATAAATATAATTTTCGTTATAATATCAGCGATAAATAAGCATAAAGATTTAAAACTGACGAAGTTTCATTGACGGTTTTTTAAAAAATAAATAAATTATTATATTTTTTTAATTTTATCAAAGAGAATATTGAAACTTTGTTATCATTGAGTGCCGCGTAATGGTCAATGATCGGTAAATATAGGTTATTGTAAAATAATTATAGATAAGTAGGCCTAAAATGATTCGTATTCGTTATTACAACACAAATTAAAAGGTAACATATTTATTGACTAACATATTGATTAAAAACATGTTTTTGTAAAATAATGTATTTCTCTGCTCATCATACGCTCTCCCTTGTCTCAGATAAAGAACTTGCGATTAATAATCATGATTTTAGTATACTTCACCAGGGAGGAGCGAATCCACCTGTTTGTACATTATTCTAGAATCTAGATTTTGGAGGTGGTACTACCATGAAGCGCCTCCTTAATTGATAATTAGCAGGTCTCACCGATGGTCAGTCCCCCTCTTATGCCCAATGGACGTTGTTGATTGGTCCATTGTGTTAGTCATCTGACCACCCGGCTTCTATTTGACGTCTGCGACAAAAAAGCAGGTACGCGTCGCTTTATTCGGAAGGTATAAAAGGCGGAACGTAAGCAGAAAGTAGTCACTTCTTCTTTACCAGCGAGCAGACGCCAAATACAAACAGTGATAGTTTTCGCATATTTCTTTGCGAAACTTTGTTTTCTTTCTTACAGTTTTGTTGGTGAATTTGAAGGTTAAGAAATGAACGTATTTATCTCAACGGTGCTCTTTCTAACGCTTGGCGTTTCCTGTATCTCGAGTGGTAAGTACAAACAACATCCCTTTTTATAATAATGAATTATATTATATGAATTATATTATAATTTTTTAGTTGCCATGTTACTATATTAATTAGTCAGTACATACGATGATACAAGTAGATAGGTGAATATATGGTGTATTATGTAATTATGTGAAGTACCGTACGGTAGCTGTTACCACTGGACCATGGTAGTACCGTATATTATTTAAAGAGATGTCGCCACTGTGGCTTGCCACATCGATTAAGGACGAAAGCTTGTGATATCACTAAGATTTTTTATGAGAATTTGAAAACAAAATTATAAAATATGAAACAAATTCTGAAGAATATGATGCAAAAGGCATAGTGCTTCAATATTTTGAGATAAATATATTAATCTTTTGAATGAAAAAGAGGTATTAAATGTTTCCCAGTAGCTTGCATGGCATTCTCATGCATTTATTTTCTAAAACCCTTGCTACTTGAGTTACACCTACTTAATACTTATTTTATACGTCCAGTGGTCTAAATTTAACTTATAAAATATGTCATTATATTCATTTATTATTGACTTCTTTTGGTGACAGGGTATTCATTTGTCTGTAATAAGGCATTTTTTAATTAAAAAAAAAAATATGTGAATCACAAGAAAACTCTGTCCAACTACAAAATTTTATTTGACAAAAAGATGTGACATGCCTAAATATAGTCATGATGACATCACATCGTGACCATATATAGGCACATCATGACCATATATAGGCACATCATGACTACATATGGGCATACAACAGTTTTTCATCAAATCAAATCTGATAGTCTGGACAGAGCTTTAGACTTTATATATACTTTTCAAATACAATGCTGTTCTGTTTGTGATCGTATCTTAGAATCTGTTTATCCTAAGAGAGATCGATGCTTGTATGATAAAAATAAAGACTATTGAATACATTGAAATGTTTACTTTTTACAGTGGTACTGGAGGGCTTCTTTGAAATAGAGGACGGAGGCGATGACATGATATCACGACTGGACACGAAAGCTATTTTAAACAACTTGGAACATGAAACTTTCGAGGAAGTCTCCAACGTAAGACGCAGAACATACAATGCGAAAAAGTGCTGCAAAATCGGAAAGAAGGTCGCTGAAGAATCATTGTTCTGTAACATCGATATGATGCAGGTTGAAAAGAAAAACAATGGAGCCCACCGCAGAAAGATGAAGTTTCACGGACCGTTGGCTCAAACTGAAAACGCCCAGAATGACCTAATGGAGAAGGTCGAAAAATGTTATCCATCAAAAGCATCGCGAAGTATGTTCACAAAATGTTGTCAGTGGCAGCAAAGCTTGATAGACGAGCTGGAATCGTGTAAAGATTTGGAGTCCAAAGAAGCTAAGCGTGACTGCAGACGAGATGTCAAGTCGCGCGAACGCCGTAGGAAGAAATAGACTCTAAACTAATTACCATTGCCATGAACACTAAAAACGTTTACAAATACCTTCCTTGATGACGCAACGCGTTAATGAATGTGACGTGTAACACATAACTTTCTAATTGTCTATAAGTATTTCGTATAAACTGTAATATCGTTAGCGTTTCAGAATGTCTATGGAACGTTTAGTCATTTGTTTACACGGTGTTTCCAAAATAATATTATATGTAAATATTCAAATATAGTTTATTATGTTAGGCATTTTCAAAAACATCGGAAACACCGAATGTCAGTGGCAGTAATTTTTTGATCAATGGTCGCTGCCTTTTGTTAACTAGGTTGGGAGTAAATATGACGGGTAAAACATAATGGGGTTATGCATAATACGATTTCAGTTCGTTTGTACATTCCGTTGCATTTTTTAATAATATATGTTATATAAATTGATACCGCATCTTGTTATTTATTGTTGTTGTTGCTGGTATTAGAGCGTGTGTGTGTTGTTGAGTGGCAGACCTATAACATAATGGTGTTATGCATAATACGATTTCAGTTCGTTTGTACATTCCGTTGCATTTTTTAATAATATATGTTATATAAATTGATGTAGCATCTTGTTATTTATTGTTGTTGTTGTTATTAGAGTGTGTGTGTTGAGTGGCAGACCTATTGGTGCTACGAAATGAATGTGGAATAATTTACATTTAGATTTGACAATTATTGTGATAGGGGTTAGTTGAAGACCAGCCAACCCATATGAATCTATCACAAGTAGCAGATAAAACTGAACATAAAACTTTTCAACAACGTAACACTTGTAGTTTATTCACGCATCATAAAAATACCTCATTGATAATGACAGAGCTTTTCAGCAGTTTCTTCACTCAAACCTCTTGGCCAATTAACCTGAAGCGAAGACTCTGGTCGCAAGATGTCAATTCTTGTAGATTAGCTCGGAAACACATTATTACGTTCATAACCATCCAGTTTTCATGACTCATTCAAACGCAACATATCTGACATATTCTATGTATGGAAATATACGAGCGGCCACTTGATAGTTCACAAATATACATAGGCCTAATTAAAGAAAGATATACTCTATCTGATGTGTTGAACTATATATTATATAAAGGTAATAATAAAAAAAAATAACGACACGATTCGTCTGCCTAATACTAATAATAATTATTTTAAAAAAACTGGCCAGGAAATCACGAATATTTAGGCTCAGAACTTTTATTATAGATATTGGATTAAGTTTTAAAAGTACGCTTTCAAGCATTATAATCATAATTAATTTGCCACAATGTAACCGTAAAGTAAACTACAGTCTCAGGTAGCCTACAATTGAAGAACACTTGAGCTGAGAAGAAGAATCGCTGCTTGATAACGTGATTGTACCATGACTGATGAAACGGACTGTATTGATCTCAATTAAATACAAAGCCAACTTTATGACAAGTCTATCAATATTTTATAACAAACGAACCCCGACCTCAAGGTTGAGAGACCGAAACGCAATCGCTCCCACCACCGTGTCGTACCATGGACGAATTTAACTAATTTCGTACGATCGTCATAAAACCATCCGTTATCGCACGTCCGTTACGCTCGTCGCCTTTTCCCATTGGACGACGACTGTCGGCACTGACTGTGCCCCGATTTATAGTAAGTCAGACCATGGAGGATATATAT